CAAATAAGACACAGCTGGACAAGTCACAAGCACCTTGTACTACTGAGCAGAACAACAATTAAAACAGCTTTAGGAAAAAAGAGAAAAAGAAAAGAAAAATAGAAGTTGTGGCCACACAGGAGTACTTAATCCCTTTAATTTCCAACTGGAAATTTCCTGAAGAGTAAGTCACATTTTAAAAATGGAACTTGAAGGGTAAATCAGTTTTGAAATTTTTACTTATAGTGCAAGAATTCTAAGCTCATGTCACTGTTGCTTCACTGACTGCAAGCCAGTAATTTCATCGAGAAATATAGGATTATATTCTAATTAATTTGAGCCCTAAACTGCTTCATCAGCATTAACAAAGTAAGTCACACATCCCACTTGGAAATGTTCCCTATGACAGAGACGAGGAAACAGGCAAAGAGCAAAGACATCAGTGTCACTAGTTAATTTCTGATACAGATTGAGGTCAGAGATGACACCAAGTTCTCTTGCGTGCTCAGCATATGATTCAGATATGGAAGTGCTGATTTTGGAACCACCTCAAAAGAAATGTAATGCCTAATTTGGGATTTTTTTCAAGGCAGATGCAAGCCCAATTGAAAAGATTTAAACTGGTTGCTCTTCCATTTTTCTCTATGGATAATTTGCATGCTGAGGGTGCCTGGATATGCCAGGAGTAATTGTGATACCATGTAATCCTATACTAAGCAACTGCAACTCTGAATTAATCAGGAATGTGTAGTAGTCCTCAGCAAGGCACTTATCTACAAATTAAACTCTAGGCTAGTCAAACCAAGGATATTTGATGGCAGTCATATGTTGGTTTCCAAAATTAAGTCCAATGTACAAATTTCTACACAGCTGAGTATTTTTAAAAGTGTTTTCGAAGGACCTGACAACTTCTTCCTCCAAACAAAAATCCACTACTGGCAGGCACTGAGAGTCTTCCTGATTAAGACTGTGACAATGTGGAAATCCACAATTAGGTCTACTTGAAACTGCTCTACAAAATTTTATCCTTTCTCATCTCTGTTCCACTTAGCCCACAGGAAAGCTCACAGCCTTTGACAGGCTTATAATACAGCACCCGGAACTCATCTGTTCTTCAGTACACTGGTGGGGCAGCCTGAAGAAGCCCCCTAAAGAAAAGAGCCAAAAGTGCTAAGGCTATGCAGTGCTGTGATCATGGGCGAGATGTTGATGTACAGCCTACCGGATGTGTCGTGAAAAGAAAGGTGTTAGGATTAACCAAGATACGGGTCTGATAGAGGAATCAAAGGCACAAAAGGGCAAGTTGTGCAACAGATTTAGGGGGAATGAATGGTCCTGAACCTAGACATACAGGATCATATATACAGCAGGTTGATGATTTTCCATGAGAAGTATGATCAATAGATACACCTGCTATGTTTCACCTGAGAAGACTCAGGGTATGTACACAAGTGCTGCTGTGTTGAATGAAAACTATTATGTACATCAGTAGGATGGTTTTAGTACAGATAGTGTGATTATTCCAGTAGTCATTGATCGGTTATTCCCTGAAAGTAGAAGAGTGGTTAAGAGGAATATGCCTGTTTACATGTTGATGGACATAGTACACACATTAAAACTATTACCTAGGTTAATGTAGGACAATGGGGCAAGTACGTTAATGTACAATTATACTTCTAATGGTTAAATACAGCATCTGGGACTAACCTGTTCTCCAAGCCAGCGGAACACCTGTCCCTTGAGACTATATTGACCACAACGGCCTAACGAAATGTCATGAGAAATACGTACGTTTCACCAGTTTTGGTTCCACTCTGTATCCCATAGCTCACAGTTGAGACAGATTTAGTGACAGAAGTGGCATTCTCTATATAAAAGCAGAAGAGACAAGATGCATTATGGCAGAAACTTCCCTTGTGTGCTTTCAAATAATTTCCTGATAGATACACATACATTGATTTTTACTCACCACACTGAAAAGCTGCAGGCCTCTAACTTCCATATGAACTAATAAGCTGGGGAGGGGTTTTCCCCAGGGGTTCAATTTCTCTGTAAATTGTTGTACTGCAGTGCAGGTAGTGTAAACATACCAGAAAGGACCGTGAGAGGATGCCTTTGATAAAACCGCACTGGGAAGGTCAGATCATTTCAGGGCCCTGGGCAGAACTCAGAGGAGGGCATGGATGTTTCAGTTAAAAGGAGAGATGCTACAGCTCACCTTGCAAAAGTCATTCTGGCAGACACAGGGAGTTCTGGGGAGTCTGACATAATTGAGAGCATAATTTAAATGACCTAATTTCTACCAGGAAACATTTTAGTCTGTAAGGTAGAACAGATTCAAAAGTTGTAAAGGTAGCTTAAAAACAACTTTGCATCTTCCTCCCTCCACCTTTGAGCTTCTACCTTTTGTACTTTGCCACTTAGAGCCCAGCTCCGGACTCCAGCTGTACCCTACAAATGCAGAAAAATGGAGTGTCTCCCCCGGTTTTACACACTGAAGCCAAAAATTTGTTGCATAAGCTAGCAATTTATTTCTTTAAGGCTCCTTCTATACACAAAGAAGAAGGACTGGCATCTTAGAAGCAATCCAGCCTGATCACTGTCCAAATTACTCTCTGGAAAAGCTGAACTCTCCCCACTTCTTACAGAAGGGATCCAGATCAACTACATTTCTCATGTAAAACACACTGGTAAATGCCAGCACATAGACGTGACAAATTCATGACCACTAACAATTGCCAGATATTTATGCAAATTTTAAACGCTTTAAGATAGGGAGACTGTGATGCCTATTCTGGACGGGCTACATCTTTTGTTAAATAAACCAACACTTGAGACCACTGTGAAATGCCATCACATTGTGCAGACAGTAACAGTTCAGTGACATCAATCAGAAGTACTTTTGGATAGAGCTCAACTCATCTACTTCAATTGAAATCAGAAATTCTTAAGGCATTATGTCCTTTGACACATTCATATTACAAAGGAGACTACTCAATTCTATCCTGCTCAAAGGAATTTGCTTCAATATGGGCACACTGTTTTCCAACTGCCTTTACCTTGTGTACAGTCAGTTTTCAACTGATCAGCTCAAATCCTGACTGCACAAACTGTCTGTCTGCCACACTTTTCTCGTACCTATGGTTTCCAGTGCAGAGATTGTCTAACAGTACCCATGTACATCCACATACAAATAAGGATGAGTACCCCTCACTTCTAACTGACTGAGAATCTGACACAGTGGAACAAGTTTTCATGATTCCATGAGTCTGCACACAGACTTGTCAGCAATTTTAATATTACCATGCACCTACTAATCAGAACTACATGCTAAGATCTCGAACCCCCAGACAAAGAGCATGGAATCCCTCTCAATTTGTGTTGCATAAGGGTATATTGATAGAACACTCACCTCCAGTGGCAGATGAGTCCACTGTTCTCACCGTAACTGAATTCCAGTCCTTCACTGTATCAGCAGAAAAAAAAGACAAAGGAAAGTTTTGCTACATTCTCAGCTTTAATAAGATAAAAGTTAAAAGAACAATCTGCAAATAATCCCTATCTCTTGCTGGCAACTCTATCTGGTTTCCCTCTGTAATTTCTGACCCACATAAATAGTCCAATTTCTAAGTGTCACAGCTAAAGGATGATTGACTTCAATATGTTGGTTTTTTTTAAAACCCTCAATTTAGGTATAAATGAGATTCTGCAGTCACTCTGACTTGTGTATATGTGTCAGACTGCTGTCAGTCATTTCTTCCTCCAAGTGACTATTGGAACCTGTTAGCCAAATAAATATCTGCCTAACTTCTCAAGGGACCTCAGGTCTCAAAGCACTAAAAGTGTAAATTTCATCAAAATAGCTGGGCATGTTGAAGAGATTCTGTAACTTACTGAATTTAGTAACTGGGCTAGAAGATAGGCTTCACTAAGAACTCAAATATATTAGGCAGTAAAAATTCTCAGCAGATGCGACATTAGAGCCTAAAGCTCCAGCTAGGACCCACAATATTCCAAACTGGAGTGTCTCACAATGGGATACATAGCCATAGAAGCAAGGTTTCAGAATTACCACTAGGTCACAGGACAATACTCACAGCATCAGTTGAAGTAAGGAAATGGGATGCACCTTCAGCAAGTTATTTTTGTCTCTTTTACCTGGCTGGTTGGAAGTTTTCACTGCCATTGCATTTTTGCTCTTGCTCTGTCCCAGCAGGCCAGCAGATGCATTAGTTGTTCCTGTTGAACAGATGTTTTCTCCTGAAAACTTCTCAGATGTCCTGGTTACTGCAGTAACGGGAAGGTGAGGCATCTGTAGGGTGACTGCAGGGGCATGGGCTTCAGGGGAAGAGGAGTCTGACATCTGAAAAGAGGTCAGTTCATGGCAGACTTTCGCCTGACTTCCTGAATAAAAAAAAAAAGGAGAGACGAAGTAAATTTGTTTGTAGATTTGTAACAAGTTACAAACCGATTTCCATGCAACAACTTTATTCTACAAGTCCTTGAAATTATCCCACCTTGTTCTCCCTGTGGAACATTGTACCACTTATGCTGCAGAAACAACCCTAGTGCAAGGGATCCTTGCAGTGATCGTACTTGTTCTACATGAATCTCAGCAGGAACAATGTCTTTAGATCATTAATACACAAGTATCTGCATTTGGTAAGCTACTCCTGTTCCTCTGTGCAGCTCTCACTCCCCATCTCCTGGCCTGGGTTAGGAGGCAGCATGTTTATTCTTTTCATGGTTTTATGAAACACTGTATAACTCAGTTTTCTCTAAAATGCAGACAGTAAGTCCTTCCTCAACTGAAAGATGATGGAAGCGGACAGGTAATTTGCGAGATGTTTTGGGATGCAAAGCTACAATGGCACCCAGAATAGCAAGCCTTACTACCACTAGTGTCCAACATAATGTGACAGTAATAGCCTCTAGTTCATGAAACACTAGTGCATGTTTAACAATTAAGTTAAAGTTTAAAAATTAAACTCCTAATTAGGAAATAAAGTATTGGTGCCACAGGACAATATCCATGCTGAAACCATAGTGGATTCTAACACTCCCAACATGTGAGACCTGCTCTACGCCTGCCAGAATCAGGTATTTTACAAGTAGTGCTACATCATTTCATGCCCTGTTCCTACCTGATGAAGACCGATATCCATTTTCAATGATGGAAGAACTAAAAACTCTTCTAAACTCGGGTTTGTGGTGGTCATCCAGGTCCACACTCTGTCAGAACAGACAACAGACATGACAGCTAAATTTCAAACAGCAGCAAAAGTGAGAAGAATATCTAGAAACATCTGCCAAGAACAGGCCTTCCTTGTGTCAGTGACTACAATACAAGAAGGGAACAATTACCTAACCCCAAGAGTCAAGGCTGCAAATGGAGCACTGGCAATGCAGGACTTGTATTAGTCTTGGCACACTTGTCCTCACAGACCCCATGTACCTACAAGGTGTTATCTTTTGATAGATAAAGGTATCACCATCCACTGTGAAGATGATAAACAGAAGACTCTGCACAATAATGGAGAAAATGACTGAGATTGCAGGAAACAATGCTCTGCAATTTTTTTCCATTTGCTGCAGAAAAAAAGTACATTATGAAAAGACATTGTAAAAGCAATACATAAAGTAAATACAATCCTAGAACTTTACAGCTGTATTATAATCTGTAACTTCTGTAACGATACCTTTTTTCTGAAAAAAGCATCAATTTTCCCAATAACATCTGCCAGTATAATTCCAGAAAACTCAGCCAAGAATTTTTTTTGGTGGTTTGGTATGAGGTTTTTTAGTGGTTTTGTTTGTTTGTTTGGGGGAGGCATGCAAAACACCGTGAGGAAATATGTGATTTTTTTGGCTGCAGTAACTAAAGAAACAAGAAACTGCTTCACAGACACATGATTACTTCAGTTAAAAAAACGTAGTTCCCAAGAAGCAGCATCTACAAGCAAGAACACATAAATTATATCATTAATAATGTTCATTATGTCTACCCAGGTCATCACGTCTCATGCAGTTACTCCCAGGCTGACTAACTGTTGGGTGCCATCAGGTCACCACAGAGAGATACCAATGGGTAATACTTGATTCGACCTTCATAAGGTGTTCATAGTCAGCTATTCATCGCTCTGCTGCTGTGACCAATGCAGGCAGATTCACTGCCAGCAGTCTGTCCTCATTGTACAGAAACTCTTCTGACGGTATTAAAACAGAACACCCTTACAGTATTTTCAGTCCTCCCTGTTAACAAAGGCACCATGTTCAACCACAAAAACTATGGAAATATCATAAGTTTAAAGCTCTGCCAAAATACAAAATCTGATCAACAAAAAAAAAAAATAAAAAAAATCAAACCTCTTCTTTTCTAAATTCTCAGTAGTGCAGCTATGGCTCCAGGATCCCAGTCTGAAATTAATTCTTCAAACATCCCTTATTTTCCACATTTGTGAAAGCAACTCTCAGATTCAGGCCTGGTTAGAGAGTCAAATTAAGGTTTGGTATCAAAATAACAGAAAGACTCATCTCCAAATCAGAGTGGTTAATGGCCATTTAAAATTCCACCTAAACCAGCATTTAGACTGTTGTATAGCAGCTTTCAAGGACACCATAGTAGAAATTGCCCAGATTAGAATTAAAAGGATATTTGTGTCCTTACTTCTGAACTATTCTTGGAACTCCCTGGATTCACTTTTTTTTAAACTAAATTACTTTGAAAAATAATCTAGTAATATTAGAAAATAATGTTTCAGACACTGAAGATACTCAGAATCTCTGGTATCCAATTAATGCTGCATCAACCACACAGTAAAAAGGAATTCGACCAATAAATCTTTTCAGAAGCAGAAGACACATTTGATTTGCTACTATTCCCAGGTCAGTATTACTTGCTTCTTATATCTCATACTTACAGAAGTATTTTCTAAGACTAGAGGTGTCACCAATTTTATCACAGGTATTTGTTTATCTTGAAACATGGAAATATCTGGAAATATGGAAACATACATAGTGCCATTTATGGTACTCTGTTTCAAATGCTTTGATCATATAACCAGAAACTGCAAGCAACTGAAGGAACACTGTTCATTACAGAGAATCTGGGTGACCAAGAGCAAGCGACCAAGGCTTGCTCTTTCACCAATTCAGCACAGCCACATCAGAGCCTGATCCACAAAATTACATTTTCACTGCACGCGTTTGGCTTGTATGGCTCTAGCTGCACCTCCCGTAGGTCTCAGTACTGACATTCCCTCTCGGTCAGCTATGCCAGCTTGGGAACTTCTCCAACCTAAATTGTTGGGAGGGCACTGAAGAACCGTCAGTACTTAAGTGATTTTCCCTGAACTCTCAAAGCAAAACAGGAAGGTTCCAATCCAAACAGAACCTCAGACTGTGCTTTAAGGCAGACTGATACTCGAAGCTGGACATTGCCGTAACACTGATGGAAGACTTTTCACAGACTGTGAAAACCGACACACTGCAATGCAGACAGTGGTGATGGAGCAGGTGGAATGGTGTGAGGGGCCACAATCCCTTGTCCCTTTCATGTCATTCAGCTCACTTCTGTTCCTTGAAATACAAACAAGGATGTGGATGGCTCCACGGAACAAAAAGTTGTAGGTGTGCTGCTTACCTTTGTCACATGGGGCAAAAGGCTGCATTTGCTACAATTATGTTGGAACAACGTATCAAGCAGCAGCTTTACCTTTTCAATTGCCCAGATGTGGGAAACCCTATGCCCGCATTTGTAAGTCAGTAGGAATTAACAGGGCTGGAATGCAATACAGACTCTGCTTGTTCCTACCAAGTTTAGTGAATTTAATTTCCAAGCTTTTCGTTTTCAACCCCAAGCCTAGATAGTCCACAGACCATTTTTTTTAAGCTTCAGCAGTCTTAAAAACTCCTTAAGACATGGCTTAATCAAGATTACATAAAATAGGCTGTCATCTGTGAAAGCCAAGATTCTAGTACTCCAGTTTTATGTGACTCAATCACAATGTACCGTTTGGCTGCCCCCTCCTGGCATCAAGGATTGCATAGGAGCTCTCAACTCTTCCCGCAGAGACAGACACATAGAAAAAGTATGACATAAAACATTTCAGTACCAGATGAGCTTCCCACTAAGTGGCATTTCTATGCCCCAAGTTACAATGCTCCACTACACCGGAGGAAGTTTTATCACTGGCAGGAATGTGTATGTTTGTGCAAGTTTAGGTCATGGAGACCATGACAGTTTGTGTGAGGCTGCCAGGGACAAGCTGCAGCAGTCTGGGACAATGGCTGTAAAACAAAACTGTCTCACTGCAGGATGCTGCTTTAGGATGCACGGCTGCCGGGGCTGCCTCGCTCAGTGCACACCCCTTCAGAGGCACAGATGTAACCCCAGGAGGCAGCGGTGGAAGGAGGGAGAATGGGTGGGGGCACAGCCTTGTTCACGTTACTGCTTGCTATATGCTATTGTGCTTTGTGAGCTCGCCAACTGGCAAACTGCATTGCTGGCACACAGATCCCTCTGAATCGAGTCCAGAAAGGATACGCAAATATTCACGTACATATGTATACTGACAGGTGAGTCTGCCCCATCTTCTCTTCTTACTTCTAACCACATTGAACTGACAGGTTACTACCCCTCTAACCAAGATCCCAGTTTGGCCAAACTGTGCCACAATCAGGTAAGTCTCCATATGGTATCACGGCCAAGACCATTTCCCAGAGCACCTCCCAAAATCCCACTGACACTGCACTGCAAAAGAGGAACCCTGTGTCCCTAAAGGCTCTCCCGTGCCAATGCAGAATCTGGCATGATCCGTGTACCCTCTTGGCCCTCCCTTCCTCCCGCCGCCTCCTTGGCAGTGACCACTTACTTGGCTCCGGCCAGGGACCGCTGGCTTGGCATGGCTGGCCGAACCCTGCCCCGGAGAGCCGGCCCCCGCGGCCTGGGGGCTCTCCAACCGCTCGTCCGCGCCCAACTCCTGCGCAGCCCCGCGCCGACCGACCCAGGGCCTCCACCTGCCGAGACAGGCGCTCCAGCTGCGCCCGCAGGCGCCGGTTCTCCTGCTGCAGCTCCGAGACCGTGTGTGCCAGGGGGCTGGCGAGGCGCAGCACCTCCTCCACCTGCCGCCCTACCCCCTGCTTGAACAGCTGGATGTCCACATGGATCTCCCGGACAGCGCCCCGCAGCGTGTCCTCGTAGCGCTCCAGGGCGTCGCAGACGGTCTGCGCCTCCCGGCCGTTCGGATCCTCGCTCTCGCCGGCCATGGTGTCCGCCGGCTGCGCGGCCAGGAACGGGGACTCCGCACCCGCGCGGCGCTCGGGAATCCGCCCGGCGTCTACAACGCCCGCCTCTTCTTCCCACTCGTTCGCCGCCCGCCGCCTCTCTTCCCCCCGTGCCTCTCGGTGGACCCCAAGCCCGGCCCTATCTGCCCGGCCCCCTCCGCCGGCCACCGATCAGGAGGAGCTTCCGAGGGGCACAGGAACGCGCCCGCCGGCGGCCAGCGGGCCGGGACGGCTGCCTCGCTCAGCGCTCACCCGCTCAGACAGGCAGATGTAACTTCAGGAGGCAACCGTGGAAGAAGGAGGGAGAAGGGGGCACGGGCTTGTTCACAGCTGCCCAAGGACTTGAAGACCTGAGAGGGCCGGTGGTCTGCAGGCGGGGCCACGGGGGCGACACGGCCCGAAGCGCGGGTGATATTTGTGGAAAACCAGCCAGAGCAGAATCTCTCGGGTGGGTTCTTTACTGCAGCACAAGACAAAAAAGCCCCACAGAAAGAGGGAATCTGGAAGATATTTTAAGCAAATGTGCACCATGAGTTAGCCTGTCTGTGTGTCAGCATTTTATGTCAGGTAGCTAAAAATTCTTGGGTGCCATACAAGATTTACCATATTACTGAACCAATGCCTCTTTCTCTCAGGAACACTGCATTCACATGCAAAACCAATTCACTTACAGACACATTTAGCAGCATCCTAGTCTCCCAGATGTTTTCAGAACACTACAGAGATTATCCCTGCTGGTCCGTGTCACAAGCTTCCAGGAGTTAAGCAGGACAAAAGATGCACACTGTAATTTAAAGATTTCTGCACTTGATAGTTTTTCAGTGTACAAACTTATACTCCCCTGTATATATTTGTATGTGTGTGTGTTTGTATGTAGTATTTACCCATTTATCTAAGCTACTGCTAACTTTAAATACTACTTTATATCTTACTTTTTTTTTCCAGGACCACTGTATGCATTCCTTCTTCCTTTCCCTCCCTTTATGCCAAGCTCTTCTGTGGGACCTATTTTACAGCACCGAAAGACTGCTGTAGAAAATTGCCAATGTCTTATAGCACAATTACTGCTTTCTTACAGTCATTACAGTCACTTTCTTACAGAAAGGAATCATCATTTAACAGTTGTCAGCAGTTGTTCTCTTGCAGCAGCAAGTAGCTGAGCCTGTAAATCTAGAATGAGAAGGGAAAGTTGGAGAAGTTCTGCCTCAACTTTTAACCCCACCTCCAGGTTGGAAAGGGTTTAAGTCACTATGTGTAAAACCCTAAAGCAATAACAACAGAATTCAATTACCACTAGCACATAGGTAA